CTCCTTGACACGCTGCCCAGTGGCTGAAACAGGCACAGTCCCTGTACTCAATCCATTTTTTTTGCATAGCCAACCTAAAGGGACTCCTCACCGCAGCAGGAGTATTTACTGGCTCTGCCAGAGCAGTCTTCCAGGCTGACATTCCCTGAAGCTTATTTAAATACCCTTATTTAAAGAGTAGCTGGTCACAGGAATAGATTTGTTGCCATTTCCCATTTAGTCTGAACAGACTCTAAAACAAATGGCTGAAATAGGACAAATTACATTAAAGTCTGTGACAAGATTTGCCCCTTCCTACTTTTCTCCCTTGTTGTTTCCTGCAGACTGTGCTGTTCCTGCCTCTCTGGGCCATTCCTGGCTATCATGCAAAAGCTGTTCTGGCTCAGGATGAATGGATAAAAATGAGCCTTTTTCTACCAGTCCTTACTTTATTTACAATTTTTCCTTCTTTCCCTGCCACTGCCCAGAACAGCTTTCATCTCCCCAGCTCTCTGCCCCTCACCTCTTGCAGCTCTCCTGCTGCTCCCCCAATGTTCCTCATTCCTCCTTCAGCTCCATTCTGCCCCTTCTTCATTCCCCTTCAAAGGTCTAGGGCTCCCCTCATTTTCTGCTCCACTTATAGGCTAACAGATACCAGTCTCTAGGTCCCCTCAGCCACCAAAAATCCTGGCCTGTCTCACTTACCTGTCACTCTCACCCACCTTTCCTGTGACTCAAGGGCTCTGACAAGCAAGGCAGGAGAGCTCAACCTGTGGTCAGTCCTCTGTGCTATGTCAGGACGCCTGGCATTCTCTTTGCATCCCACATAGTTTGGGTACCCTGCCAATTAATGAAGGGCTCTGTCTGTTACTCTGGCAGGATGCGTTACTGTCCTTAACATTGAGTGACACCAGGACAGAGCCATTGGCCTGAGGCTCTGGTAATGGGATTTCAGGAAATGCTTTCCTTTCATCCGTCAAAAAAAACCCAACATCAAATAACCACGTGGGTAATCCAACCCCTCTCTGACTATGAACCTGAATTTGGCATGTAATGAAGAAAGCACTCAATCAGCTGAGTCACTGCACAGAAAGACCTATTGTAAAAGATGCTTCACGATGCAGCTAACTACTTTTATCCTTAATTATACGAATTTGACAGGTTAGTCACTATATTACTGAAAAGAAAAATAAATTTATTTTACATGTAAAAACCTAAACCTTTGCAGCTTGCAAGTCAAATATGATGGATTGTGTTGAATTTCTGGTTCCCAGAGAATGCTGCAGCATATCTGTACTGCTCCTCAGTGCTTCCTCCCACTCAGCTGACCACGACTTTGGAGCAAGCGAAGAAACGCTACCACTCTTGTACTTCATTATGAGTCAAACACATCCCGAGCTCCACCATGGGGTTCAAGCCAAAGCTTTCCACATTAGCCCACTTCAGAGTGAGTTTCTGAAGGTTACTCTGCCACGCCTCTTTTGCAGCACACATCTCATGTGATGTGAAAGTCTTTGGCTTGACAAGAGCTACACAGATCTCATCCTTTCCTCTTGGTACTTCCAAAATCCTCACCAAGGACCCTGTTTGTGTGTGTGCAGGTGAGAAAGGACTTGGGCAGGCATGAATCAGGGACAGCACATTGCAACTCCGTGGATCTTGGGCTGTACCCCTCCCCCCCCCAAGGCAAGGTGTCATCAGGAGCTCCTGGGGAGCAGCATGGGGTATGTGGCTGGCAGAGGCACGGAGCTGAGGACGGAGTGGGGCTGAGCTGGTCTGCCAGGGGCAGCCCAAGTCTTTATACATTTGCATCTAAACGGGAATAGCTGCTTTACCACCCTCATGTCACATCCATGGCAGTCCTCCTATGCTCCATGCCAAACCCCTGGCCCGTTGTCTCACAGATATTTGCCCGTGACTGGAGTGGAGGCTGGATCAGAGCCCCAGGCTGCCCTGCCCACGGCACTGGGCACTGTCCCACGTCCCCATCGGTCCATTGAAAGGAGGGCATTGATGTGTCTCCATAATGCAGCCATTACCAGCGTGACACCGAGACAGATCAATCAAAGGCAACACAACAGCCAGATTCAGAGGATTCCAAAATTGAGGTCAGACTCAATAACTCTTAGATAGATGCCAAGAGAGAGACACACACATATATACAGGAAGGCAAAATTTAACTGTGCAAACCTAAGAATGTCACTTGCAGTGATGGATTGGATGCATTTTGGCAAGAACTGTTATTTCCGCCCCCATTACCAGCCCTCGCCCCAGCATCAGCGTTGGCATAAGGTGCCTTTGTCCTGGTGGCCTGACTCTAACCTCCCCCCCTTAACACACAGCCCTCTGATTTTGCAGCAGGAGCCCTGCAAATGGCTGTGCTGTGGCTTTGCTGTGCCCCAAAGAGACTAGTGCATTGCTGCAGAATACCTTTCCCTAGGAGAGCCCTGTTCCATGACTAAACCCCAGCTCCTGGGTCAGTCAGGTGCTGGGGAGCTTCCTTAGGAGAAACACCTCAAAATGTAACTGAGCTCTCTGCAGCAGGGAGGGGGTGAGGGCAGCTGCCTGGGAAATGCCCTGTTCATATGAGTGGTCCGCTGTGGGCGAGCTGCTGCAGTTGCTGGGGACTTAGAGACTTTGAAATGAAGGCTGAGAAGCCAGAGGTTTTCCTAGGTTATGGTGCTGGACTTAACACCAGGGAAAATAAAATCCCTGTAAATCCACTCAAAACCACAGTTTGGCTTCATTATCTCAGTTGACCTTGGCTTGATGTGCATTTGCTCCTCAGCTATTTGGAGTCAGTAAGCTACTACAAATGATTAAATGATTCACATTATTGGTAATGATAGGTGTCAGAGCAACATTTAAAAACCCCACTTGATATAACACTCCACTGCAGTTAAACTTAGCAAACATAGCAAAGATCACTGAATTTGGTGGTGAATGTCAATCCTGATTTGAAGATCAAACTCTGAATCAAACACCAAAAACCCACCTCTAGAGTTCCTGCTTCACAACACACTGAGCACATTCAGCTAGTAAATACTAGTGTGAAATGGCAACACATAGCCCAGTGACTTACTGTCACTACAGTAAATTGACAACATGTTTCTCCTTCAGAAACAGAAAAAAAGGTTAAAAATATATCTTGGATATCCTAAGACAGTTTACATTGCATTCATTAAATATATGCTTGCCAGAGTGTGAGTGTGCAGTGTCCAAGTTTTCAGAAAGAGAGGAAATCACCCATGAAGACAAGCAGTTTTAGGGACTTTCTGGTGTTCAAGGACAAAGATGCCATGAGACAAGCTATATTAAGACTTTCAAACAAAAAATGTATGTATTGACACTAAGTCCCCACACTAGAGATTTTGCAATCTAAGCAGTGACAAAAAAGCAGGGGAGGAGGAAATGAGGCCACAAAATGGCAATCAAAGTGAACTTCACCCAGATCAAGAGTAATCTTGTTCCCTTGGCAAGTGCAACTGCTTGCCCTAGACAACACTGCTTCATTTTTTCTTGTTCTGCTGTTAACCCCTTGTCTCATAAAGCAACTTGAAAATACACTACTACAGTGCCCACTGACGGGCGGCGGTGGGCTCCTGCCCCTTTTCATCCATTACCTGAAAACACCTCAACTAAATGTTCGGGTCTCTCTCAGGCACTGACCACCACTCAGAACCTGAGCTTGAGAGAGCCTGAGAAGAGCATTTCTCTCCTCGCTTTCTAAGGAAAGGAAACTCCTTTTTGTCCTGTAAAGTTATTCCCAGTTCTCCATATGCATGCGTGGGACTCATCCAAGATGTGAAAAATTCATGGCAAAGATGTGAACGCACCGAGTCTCCCTACATGGCCCCCTAAGAACAGCAGCACCTTGCTGCTGCGATTCCTGCCGGCCTGCTCCTGCTCCTGTGCTGGCTCGGTGCAGCACAGAGCTGGGTTACAGCAAAGAGCCAAGGCTTTGTTATTGTCCCCTCAAACAATCATCAACAGTGTGCTCACCTCAATGCTAACACAAGATTTCTTTTACCTTTGGCTTTCAAATTTTGGTTATCCACAAGAAGAGACTCTTAAAATCTAAATTCACTTGCTTGTAGCAGAGAGATCCATTTCCGGCAGAATTTGCTTATGAAATGACTGTAAGATCCAAGAGCTTTAAAATTCTCCAGCTGCTGAGAAATTAAGGATAGGATCTCCAAATGCTGTCAACAGCCAGCAGACTTTGCTAGAAAGATCTCTTTAGCATGCATGGATGGATGCATCAAGGGCAGTCAGATTTCTACAAAAGAAATTCCTCTCATCTGGGGTTTAAAGTGGGAACTATGCACAGAGAAAATTAGCATTTACTTCTAAAACAGGAAACTCGCTTTGCATATTTCATTTTGACACAGTCACACATTTTTTTTTCCCCAAATAACAAGCTGAATCCTAAAATCCTAACATAGTTTACAAACAGATGAAGTCCCAGTGAGTATCCAGTGACATATGCCTGGGCCAGGGTGAATAAAAGCTAACACTGAATTGTGGTGCTCCTGATCAGATTGTGCAACACATTATTCTGCAAGGAGTTGGTGGTTTCAAGAAGGTGGTGTTACTTGTAACAGGGGAATCCACCCCTCACACACACACACCCATGCAAGAGCAGCATGAGCTATCCATGCACAACAGCTGAGCAGTTTCCTACTCCCTCCCAGGCCACAGGAGCTGAGGAGCTGCTCTACACCAGCCTGCTCTCTTGTCCCCAGGAAGATGCCCCAGCCCCACCTAACAAATCATGTCTTTCCTGAAGTCTTCTGAGAGCACTGCCCGGGATCCTGGGAAAGGATTTGAGCTGTGTAAATCCAGATGAACACGCAACCCTTGCTGTGAAGAGCTAGTGCCCTCCCAAGGCGCATGCTCCCTCACGTCAGCTGCCCCGTGCCCCAGGGCACGCGTGGCTCCAGCCAACGGAACGTTCTCTCTCCCTGGAGAAGGCTCATTCAGCAGCCCGCGTGTCAGGGCGGGGCGTCGCCTCCCTTTACCTGCGGTCTCCCTGTCTCCCGCCGACAGCTCCCCGTTGATCCCGTTCTCTTTGGTGCGCGCGTAGGGCCCCGGCTGCTCGTGGCCGCCCGGCCCCG